AGAGAGAGGAGGAGTGGGCCTGGGTCGGGGACTTCTTGTCAAACTGCTGAACCCCCTTTCAAACAGTTGTTTACTCTTTATTTGCAACATGATCGGGTGCTTTTTAAATTCCCCTCCAACTTGTCTGCATACCAGATAGCTCAGAGATCCATCCACAGAAGCCAGATGGAGTGGAGTAGCTGCCAGCCTTTTTCCAAAGGAGAGGGGACAGGGGACAGGCTGTCAGATCCTGCCAGTGCCGGGATCGGGGAGGCTGCCCCCGGCACCTCGATCTAGATACGCAGCTTAATGTTGTCTCTCCCTGCACCTCTGCGTCTTCTTTAGGGAGCCACGCATCCTGGGGGAGCAGAAGGGACCGGAGCCCATGCCCTTCGCGTTTCCTGGAGCTCCTGCTCCGCGCAGGCTGTCCCATGTGCTGTCGCGGTCTAGTGGTTCTGCCAGCCCGGGTGGTGTTGACGCCTCACATCTTTGTGATAACATCCCATGCTGAGAGATCTGGAAGCAATAGGGAACAAGAGAGCATCTGGATCAGAAAAGGAAGCCTTGATAGTTCTGAGGGGTGCAGAGGGGTGCCAGAGTGGGATGCCGTTTGGTACCCTTTCAAGGCAGGTCAGTTGCCAGTCCTCTCTCCCCATGGCCATCCTTGACCAGTGTCCTGCATTCCCCAGAACCAGGTCCTGCAATTGGGCTCATGCATCTGCACTGGGGTCTCAAATCTAAATGCCTACTCAGGCAAGATAGATAGAAGAGCGTGCAATAGGGAGTCGTGAGGATTGTGACAAAGAGCATATGTTCTGTCTAAAGGGGGCAGCCATTCCATAGCTGCCTCCAGTGGACCCAGCTTCTGAATCGTTTTTCAAGAGAAAATAGAAATCTGGTGTGTGTGCATGTGTGTGCATGTGTGTGTGTGTGCATGCCCATGTGCATGTGTGTATGCGTGTGTGTGTCAGAGAGAGAGGGAGAAATTTCTTGATTTTTAAAACACTGGGAGGACTGAATGAACATATTTACATGTGGAATGTTGCTATCTATTGTGGGGAGGATTCTTTCCTCGGGCAATCAGATTGGCACGTCTGGCCTGGCCTCTTTACTAGTGGTTCACTGTCAGAAGGCCCTGAGTATCAAGGTTTGGAATAAGTCTTTGACCACGTACTTTTTTTAAAACACAAACAAAGCAAAAAGTGTGTGTGAAAGGTCCCTTCAACCCTAACTCTTGGGTGCTTGGCCCTACGGGATCCTCTAGCTTCTCTCCCTATTTCTCTGCTCCATAGCATCCTCTTTGGAATGCCTAACATGGAGTGGCCTCAACTAAAATGTGACCTACAAAGCACAGGAATTCCTGGGGGGAAAGCTACAAAGGGGAGCGTGTGACCTCAGACAGACCCCCTGCCTGTGACTCTCAGCCTGTTTCCCCACCTGTGACTTGTGAGGCTGGCTCTGCCCACCTGCCCAGGTTATTGTTGGAATGCTAGGCCATCGGAAAGGCGCTCTGCAAAACACGAGACGTGTTCCAGCAGCGCGAGCTTGTTTCCATGGCGAGGCAGGAGGACATCTGTGTGAGCCCTGGGGACCCAGCCCATTATTAGCCAGATTAAACAGGCAGTTCTTCTTCCACTTGTCACTGCCACAGCTGCCTGCCTGCACGCAGGCCTGCAGCAAGGACAGGTGGCACCGAGGATTCAGCTGCGATGGCAGCCCCACTGCTACCAACCGAAGTCCCCCGGGACCCTGGCATCAAGGGCCTCTGGGGACAAGGCAGTCTGTTCGGACCCCCGTGGGTCACTCCCCACGAGGGAAGCTCTGAGCCAGCCTTGAAAATAGGAGTTTTACGTTTAGCTGGTTAGTTCAGTTCCCCTCCCCTGCTTCCATTTAAAAGGGAGTAAGAGATGATTTTAAGCTAGTTTCGAGGGCACTCCTAGTCAGTCTGGGAAATGTGGGTGCTAAGGGGACCCAGATTTGCTGGACTTCCCAGCTCCATTCTGGAAAACTCTCCTGTAGCCCTCACAGCATCATCTGTGCTGGACCAGAGTTCCACTCGAGAAGCACGTTTCTGTGATGCT